TCTCTCTCACATACACTCTCTCTCTCACATACACTCTCTCTCTCACACAACACACACTCTCTCACACAACACACACTCTCTCACACACTCTGTCTCTCACATACACTCTCTCACACACTCTCTCTCACACAACACACACTCTCTCTCACACACTCTCTCATACACACACACTCTCTCATACACTGTCTCTCTCACACACAACACACACTGTCTCACACACACTCTCTCTCTCACACACGCACACTCTCTCTCACACACTCTCTCATACATTGTCTCTCTCACACACACACACACACTGTCTCACACACTCTCTCTCACACTCTTTCTCACACTCTCTCACACACACTCTCTCTCTCACACACACACACACACTCTCTCATTCTCTCACACTCTGTCTCACACACACACTCCCTCTCACACTCTCTCTCTGTCACACGCTCTCTCTCACATTCTGTCTCTCACACACTCTCTCTCTCACACTCTTTCTCACACACACTTTCTCTCTCACACTCTCCCTCACAGACACTCTGACACACTCTCTCTTACACCCTCTCTCACACACTCTGTCTCACACACACTCTCTCCCACACTTTTCCTCACACACTCTGTCTCTCACACACTCTGTCTCTCACACACACTCTCTCTCTCTCACACTTTCCCTCACACACTCTCTCTCTCTCACTCTATGTCATTCTGTCTCTCGCTCTCTCTCTCACACACACACTCCCGATCACACTTGCTCTCTCACACTCTCTCTTACTCACACTTTCTACTCACATGTTTCTCTCTCACACAGTCTCAAAGAGACACAGACACACACATGTGCACAGCAAGATCCCAAAAACAATGAATGAGCTGACAGTGACCACTCCCTCCCGACAGCTCCGAGGTTGGAGGGGAACGGTAGGGAGGGGCTCGAATGATTTACTGTGAGCTACCCCCACCCACTCCTCAGCATTCACATTCCGTGAGGGACTGGGATTAGGGCCCACAGGGAGAGAGAGAGAGAGAGAGCGAGACACAGAGAGAGAATGAGGGAGACAGAGAGAGGGCGAGACAAAGAGAGAGAGGGAGACAGGGAGAGATAGAGACACAGTGAGACAGAGAGAGATAAAGAGTCACAGAAAGAGAGAGAGAGAGACAGAGAGAGAGAGACAGGGAGAGAAAGACAGAGAGAGAGACAGAGAGAGAGGGAGAGAGAGAGACAGACAGAGAGAGAGAGGCAGAGAGAGAGAGACAGAGAGAGAGAGAGTGTGTGTGTGAGTGTGTGAGAGTGAGAGTCTGTGTGTGTGCATGAGAGTATGTGTGTGTGTGAGAGTATGTGAGAGTGTGTGTGTGTGTGAGAGAGTGAGAGTGTGTGTGTGTGTGTCTGTGTGTGAGAGTGTGGGTGTGTCTGTCTGTCTGTGTGAGAGGGTGTGTGTGTGTGAGAGTGTGTGTGTGTGAGTGTATGTGTGTGTGTGTGTGTGAGTGTGTGTGTCTGTGTGTATCTGTGTGTGAGAGTGTGTGCGTGTGTGTGTCTGTGTGAGTGAGTGTGTGTGTGTGAGTGTGTGTGTGTCTGTGTGCGTGAGAGTGTGTGTGTGTGTGAGAGTGTGTGAGTGTGAGTGTGTGTGTGTGTGAGTGTGTGGAGATATAAGGGCAGTTTATAAGGTTGTGGGGACTGTTTCCCACACTTTCGGAGTTCCTAGTACGTGGCTCCCTGCAGGTATTGGCCACTGGTGTACGCCTTTAATTAGCTGGTCACGAGATAGCCGTGGTGAGCTGGTCAGCTATAGATAGCCTCAGATTGGGCAGGTAGGGTTACAGACAGCTGGGAGCAGGCTGTGTTCACTCCCTCCCTCTCTCTCTCTCGTCTTTTTTTTAAGTCTCCTCCTTCCCTCTTTCCACACCACTCCAAACATATCTCCTCTGCCCCTCTTTCTATGCCTCCTCTCTCCCCACTACCCCTCCCTTCACTTCGAGAGGGGTTTAGAAATCGTTCTCAGGGTGAAACAGAGCTCAGTTGTGAGAGAGAGAGAAAAAATGAGATGCATGGGGTGGAGGGGAGAGACAAAGACAGAGACAGAAAGGGAGAGACAGAGAGAGAGAGGGACAGAAACAACAGAAAGGGAGGGAGAAAGAGAGAGATAGACTGAAAGAGTAAAACATGAAAAGAGAAAGATAGAGAGAAAGAGAGATACAGAGAAAAGGAGATCAAGAGAAAGAGAGAGACAGAGAGAAAACAGGGAGAGAGAGAGACAGAGACAGATAGAGCAACGAAGAGAGAAAGGCAGTGAAAGGAGACAGACAGAGAGAGAGAAAACAGAAAGGGAGTGATGGAAGGAGAGAGAGAGACAGCTAGAGAGACAGAGAGAGAAAGGCAGAGATGGAAGACAGAGAGAGAGAAAACAGAAAGGAAGGGAGGGGAGGAGAGAGAGAGAGACAGAGAGAGAAAACAGAAAGGGGGGAGGGAGAGAGAGACAGATAGAGAGACAGAGAAAGAAAGGCAGAGAAAGGAGACAGAGAGAGAGAAAACAGAAAGGAAGGGAGGGAAGGAGAGAGAAAGACAGAAAGAGAAATGCAGAGAGAGAGACAGAAAGAGAGAGAGAAAACAGAAAGGGAGGGAAGGAGAGAGAGAGAGACAGATAGAGCGACAGAGAGAGAAAGGCAGAGAAAGGAGACAGAGAGAGAGAAGGAAAGAGAGAAAGACAGAAACAACAGAAAGGAAGGGAGAAAGAGAGAGAGACTGAGAGAGCGAAATACGAAAAGAGGAAGAGAGAGAAAGAGAGATTCAGAGAGAGAGAAAGAGAGAGAGACAGACAATGAAAGAGAGGGAGAGAGAGGCAGAGATAGAAAGAGGGAGAAAGGCAGGGAAGAAAAGCGAGATACACAGAAAGGGAGAGAGCAAGACTAAGTGAGTAAATGGCTGGATATGATTCTGGGAGAGTTAGGATTCACGTGCACTTGGATGGGCAAGGATTGATTGGGGATAGTCAGCATGGTTTTGTGCCAGGGAAATTATCTCACAAACCTGCTTGAGCTTGTCAATGAAGTTATCAGAAAGACTGATGAGGGCAGAGCGGATATTGTTTACTCTTTTACAAAGTTCCGCATGGTAGCTGAATTAGTAACGTTGGATCACATCGGATCCAGGGAGAGCTTACCGATCTGATACAAAATGCGTTTGACGGCAGGAGACAGAGGGTGGAGGGTTGTTTTTCGGACTAGAGGCCTGTGACCAGCGGTGTTCCTCAGGGATCGGTGCTGGGTCCACTGTTGTTTGTCATTTATATAAACGATTTGGATGAGGATACAGGGGGCACGGTTAGTAAGTTTGCCGATGGCACCAGGATCGGGGGCGTAGTGGGCAGTGAGGAAGGTTTCTCGAAGATTACACAGGGATCTCGATCCGTTGGGTCAACGGGCTGAGGAGGGGCAGACGGAGTTTAATTTGGATAAACGCGAGGTGTTGCTAAAACAAACAAGGGGCAGGACTTATACAATGAAAAGTAGGGCCTTGGGGTGGTGTTGTAGAACATAGAGACCGAGGGGGCTCAGGGACATAATCCTTTGAAGTTAGCGTCACAGGTAGACAGGGTGGGGAAGGAGGCGTTTGGCACGCTTGCCTTCATCCCTCAGACCCTTTGTGTGTAGGAGTTGGGGACATCACGTTGAGGTTGTACAGGGACGTTGGTGAGGTCTCTTCTGGAGCACTGTGTCCCAGTTCTGTTATAGGAAGGATGTTATTAAACCGGAGAGGGTTCGGGAGAGATTTACCAGGATGTTGCCGGGAATGGAGGGTTTGAGTTATAAGGAGAGGCTGGGACTTTTTTCGCTGGAGGCTGAGGGGGTGACCTTATAGGGGTTTGTAAAACCATGAGGGGCATGGATAGGGTGAATAGACAAGGTCTTTTCCCTAGGGGTGGGGGATTTCAAGAGGAGGGATAATATTCTTAAAGTGAGAGGAGAAAGAGTTGAAAAAAGACACAAGGGGCAATTTTTTTACACAGAGGGTGGTTCATGTGTGGAGTGAACTTCCAGAGGAAGTGGTGGATGTGGGAACAGTTACAGCGTTTAAAAGACATTTCGATAAGCACATGGAGAGATAGTAGGAACTGCCGATGCTGGAGAATCTGAGATAACAAGGTGTAGAGCTGGATGAACGCAGCGGGCCAGGCAGCATCAGAGGAGCAGGAAGGCTGACATTTCGGGCCTGGACCCATCTTCTTTTTCTGCTGTGTTCATCCAGCTCTACACCTTGTTATCTTGGAATAAGTACATGGATGGGAAAGGTTTGGAGGGAAATGGACCAGGAGCAGGCAGGCGTGGGACTCGTTCAGTTTGGGATTAGGGGTCAGCACGGACCGTGTTGGACCGAAGGGTCTGTTTCCGAGCTGTATGACTCTGTGGCT